CCGGTCGACGCTGAACGCCCGCCGGCGCTGGCTGCGCAGGATGGCGCTCACCATCTGCGGGCTCTTGAGTAAGCAGTCGGTGGTGGCCATGGCGAACTGGCGGCGCGTCTCGCCGCAGCGAGAGCGCAGCACCCGACGGCGACTGCTGCCGGCGCGACTGTCCGGCCGCGACTGAGTCGCCGCCGCCGCCCGCCGCCGCCGCACGAGGCGCCGCCCGCCGCGCTCGCCCGCTCCCCCGCGCCGTAACGGGCGCGCGCTGCGCCGTCCGACCCCGGCTCCGGCCTGAGAGGCACGGCCGAGCGCGGACGGGTCACCGGTCTGGGGGCGGCCCCGGACCGGGTCCGCAGCGGCTCCGGCTCCGGCCGATATCGGCCTGATCAGTCGGGTGACGCGCACCCGTGTCCGGCGGCCGCTCCGCCCGGGTATCGCACTGTGCACTGATAACGGAACGATCTCACTCCGGTGCCACCGTGCTCCGGTGGTCTGCTGAGAACCAGCTCGGAAAAACTGCCCAGGCGATACAGGCGTATCGCAGCTAAGTAATGCGTTTGAGTGCCGCACGCGATAGTCATAAGCGTGGCGCCTGCTGGAGCTACCAGACAATTCTTCCCGAGTTCATAACCGGTGAGATAACCCAAACGGTAGATCACATAAACAACCGTCCAAAGAGCAATCAGAAAGATTCATCGCCAATTCGGATCACACAGAACAAGGTCCTTCAAGGGGTCACCCGCCATGAAATCGGCCCCCAAACGCCGCCGTCACTCAGGAGACGTATTCGGGCCAAACGAGAGGTCGAGGCTGACCGACGTGCAGCCATTATTTCCACTACAAGCCAGGTGCAGTGATGGGGAGAATCGGACGAGCCAGGCGGAACACCGGCGGCGCGGAGGCACCGTTGTCCGCCTGAATTATCCGCCAGCCGGCACGTCCACTCACACGGAGACGCACGGGTCGGCGGGCGCCGCCGCCACGCTGCCCATTCTCCGTCTCCGGTCTCCGCCCCACACACCGGTCTCCAGAGGGCCTCCGCACCAATCCCGCCAGCTCTAGCGGTCTCTACAGCACTCCAACCATCTCCGGTGATCTCCACACCACTGCCGCCATCTCCAGCGGGTCTCCATACTATCTTCATCATCATACTATCCACACTATCTCCTCCCCATACCATACAGCCATCTTCAGCAGGGCTCTGCACTACACCAGTCATCTTCAGCGGTCTCTGCACTATTCCAGCGGTCTCCTCACCACTCCCGCCACCTCCCAGGTGACTCGGCGCATGCCATCCGGTCACGTTCGACCGTCTCATCCCTGCCTCGGGGAACTCTGAGGGCCTTTGTACCTTCATACACCACCAATCAGCGCCGCCGCCACAAGCTGTCCGCGCCACAACTAACACCGTTGGACATCCGTTTCCACGTTAAGTGTGCACAGAAACGACATGGGCTTTGCGGACGACCGGCGGCAGACGGCAGACGGCAGACGGCAGACGGCAGACGGCAGACGGTGACCTCGACCCGCGGTGGCGGCAAGGCGTCGCTCTCCGCACGGCCGCCGAAGTCCCGTGCGGCGGGGCCAGCCGGCTTTATCGACCGGAAACAGCCCTATCCGATCGCGTGGCGTTCGAACTTGGACGGCTTTATGACGCGCAAAGGGTGGAGGCCGTGGGAACACTGGCCTCGTCGGGCTCACTTCCCAGGCACGACCCTCCCTGTTCAGACGGAGGCCACCGATACGACCTGACCCCGTCGCATCGGACAGTCTGATAAACAGTTCACGGGTGTCACTAGACCAGCGCGCAACATCACCGTGTCACGCTCACCAGCGTCCACAGTCTGTCCTCCGCTCGCGGTGCATACAGACCTCACCCGACGGCGCGTCACGCGGCGGCGCGCTCGCCGCTTGTAAAAGAGCGTGAGATGACGGCATCGGTCGCGCTCCACCGGCTCCGTCGCGGGCCGTCGGCTCGGCAGCGCGCGCGGCCGGCTCCGACCACCGTCCAACGATGCACGCACACCACCGGGAGGTCCACTCTGGGCGCCTATCGTCAGACAGCCGGCCGGTGCAGGCAGGCCAGAGCGACGCGCTGCCGGGCCGTCTCAGACAAACACTGCAGACAGCGTCGTTCCGCGAGGAACGGCCATTCGATCGCGGTCCGAGTGTGCTCTGGTGCCGATGACTTCTAGGGACTGTCGCGGCAGTGGCCGCAGATGACATCGATCCTCGCCGAGTCATCAGGATTCGGCGGGAAACATCAGCGCGCGGAACCGAAACATCCGTGCGCGACACAACGCGACACATCGGTGCCGCCCGTGAACGAGCCGAAGCTGCGGCGGAGCGCATCCGTCGTCCCCATCCGGCAGCGCTGCTACGCCACCGGGGCGAAATAGCTGCCCTCTCGTCCGACCTGCGCCCTGTCCAGACACCGCCAGCGTCACCTCCGACCGCCGGCGCCACCCCGGCGTCGGCCGGACGGACCGGCGCCGCACACACGGCGACCGCAGGCCGGGGGGAAGCCGAGCCGACCGGCGGCGCGTCGGCGGCGGCTCTGACGCACCGGACGGCGCGGCGCGGCCCCAACGCCGGCCGTGCGCTGGTGCCACCACTCGAGGCTCCGGGATGAATAGGTCGTAAACGGCGGCGGCCGTGACGCGGCCAGACGCGCGCCACTTCCGCCGCTGCTCGTCCACGCGTGAAACGGCAGCCTCGCGAAGGCTTCACACGCGCTTCTCCCGCCCGCATGATTTATGGCGCGCCATTATGACGGCCTGCATCTTCCGTCGAACGCACTCCTCCACGCCCGGCGTCAGGCCGCTAGCCTACCGTGGCCGGCCCTACGCCATCTACACAGAGTCCGCCACTGGCCGCTGCTCGGTAACAAGGGTCGCCGGGAGCCCGAGTCCGTCGCGGCGGCACGATCGCATCGCCCTGCACCGGAAGACCAGCCGCCGACCCGCAGCAGGACGTCGTGCCGCAGAGGGAGCCCGCGCCGACCGTGACCGAGTGCGGCGGCGGCCGCCGACGCGAGGCCCCGACACAGGCCAAACGGCGCGTCTTCTCGCGGGGGGAGGAAATGGATGACCTGCGATGGCTACATCTCCGCGCCGCAGCGGCCGCTCACTGAGCACGATGGTCTCAGGCGAGGGCGGCGCCGGCCGGCCCACCGGGCGCAACCGACCGGCTCCGGGAGCATCCATCAGTATCAGATCACACGGCGCGCGGGCATCCATCCACTGCGGCGCCAGCAGCGGCGACTGATCGGCAGCGAGCACCGCCCGCGGCCCCCGATCGGCGCCCGGTACACGGCCATTACGTCCCAGTAATAACACGCAGGCCGCCGGCAGACGGATGGCCCCGCGAGCCACGGAGTTCTCGTACCTGCGGGCAATAGTCTCATAGCCAGCTGATGGACCCATTTTGAAGGCTTGAGACAATAACACGGCCATTAGATACGGGCTGACGTTGGACTGCGGCTGCAGCATAAGTGTGTGATGATTAACCTTTGCCCTGGAAACCAAGCAATGTTTTAAAAAGCCCAGTTGAACTGACGTACTCAGCTGCTGTGATGGCCAAGCCACGCTATTCACTACTGAGATTCAGTCTGCAATCTTCGAGCCGATTGAGCACAAGATTCCACTGCCAGTGCTCTTAGTTAGTTATTGAGTTTCAAAGGCGCGCCAACTGGTGCCCGTGCTCTAACCAGTGCAGGACGCAATAAGCGCCGGTCCCCGCTCTTTGCAGCACCCTGCACTGCCTGCACCGCCCTCGCAGAAGCCTGTGGTCTGCAGCTGTCAGCAGCTCGAGCCGTTCTCATCCGCACGGCCGCACCAGACCCGCCGCCGTCTGCCCGGCCTTATCCCGGCCATGACAGCCACTCTCGGCGGCGGCGGCGGCGGCGGCGGCGGCGGCGGCGGCGGCGGCGGGCGACAGCTTTATCACGCCGTAATGGGCCGCCGATGCCGCACTAACGGGGCGCGCCGCCCGGTCCTGCGACAGCGGCAGCCCGGGCCGCCCGCTCGGCCGCCATCTGTCCGTCGGCGCCAGCTGACTCTGTGACGTCACGTCAGACCGGCCGCACAAGACGGGACATGGACACCGACCGCGACGCGCGTGCCGGCCGCAGAGACGGTCGGCTCGTGTGGAGAAACGGCCGCAGATCACGCCGGCCGTGACGCGCGCGCGTGACAGCCGGCGTCACTTTCCCGACGAGTGTGTGACTGAGCACAGTGAAGCCACGCTGGTGAGATGCCAACTGCATCACGCTTGTCCAAACGCCGCCTGTCACGATACAGGGACAACAGCGTCCTCCTCCACCAACTCCCGGCGGCGACCGTGATGCCCGCGCACGACGGCTTTACGATGACAGCGATGGCAATGAGCTGACACTGAGTCACCGTATCAAGCCCCCCTTCGGCCAGAACCGACACGGCTTAAGCCCCAGCAAGCGGCGCAGCCTCTTGTTCGGATCACTATCGCCTCTCACGGCGCCCAGCGCGGCACCCGTCAACGCGAGGGGGCGCGATGTAGCCGACCAATACCAGGGCCTAGCGAGGGAGCCGCCTGGACGCTCCATCGGTGTCACACGGGGGAAGGCCGGGGGTCTAACGGGGTGCTGTGACGGGACTGGTCACGACGTTATGGAACGCATTGGCCAGCGCCGCGGGACCCGCTCTTCGCGCCGACAGCGAGAGCCAGCACCTGGACTGCTGCAGCGTTACAGTGGCTCGCTCGCGTGGGGGCCAGCCAACGAAATGTTCCTGCTGACTGGGCAGTGAACACCACGATCGGCCACGCGCAATGGCCTAACCAAAACCCAATGCGCAGGGGGGGGGGGAGGGGGCACTCCTTAGCAGTCACTGACCTGACTCAGGCTGGCCTGGCCTGCCACCATGACTGACCTGAGGCTGACCTGACCTGCCACCATGACTGACCTGAGGCTGACCTGACCTGCCAGTTACTGACCTGACCTGAGGCTGACCTGACGTACCACCGCGACTGACCTGACTGAGGCCGAGCCGGTAGGCGGTGGTGTCCACGTCCAGCTGCAGCATCAGCTGGTCGGCGGCGGCGCGCTCGTCGCCGGCCTCGTCCTGCTCGCCGGCCGCGTCCGGCGCCAGCAGCGCGAACCGCCGTCCGAACTCGGCGAACGGCATGTGCTCCGGGTAGCCCTGCTTGTGCAGCCGCAGCGCGTCCAGCAGCTGGGCGCCGCGCAGCTGCAAACGCAACAGAGGTCAAGGGACAGTCCCGTCGAGAGGGGGGGGGGGGGGAGCGGTCACAGGACGGCAGGGGTGAGCGGTGAGAGTTGGGGGGAGGGGGGGGGGGGGCGGCGATCAGAGCAGCTGGTGACAGCACAGGCCGCGTTGGGTGTCCCTG